CCATATACAAAGGAAGGGGGCCTGTAGGATTGTTGCCTGTGACCAATTTGGAAAATTAATATTACTTTTATATGCCTGGGGCATAGAATATTAAGCAGAGTTTCTTGACCTTGACACTATTGGTTGACTAATTCTTTGTTTGTGTTGTAGCATGCTTACAGCATCCTGACACTCGACCTACTAGATGCCAGTAGCATCTGCCCCAGGTTGTGACAAACAAATGATATTGGCAAATGTCTGAGGTTCAAGGGGCAGGAGGGGGAGATGGAAAATCACTCAGAAAAAAAGGAGGAATACGTGTGCTAGAGATAAGGGAGAGAAAGAAAGGTGGTTTCTAGGTCTCACAAGGCGGTACCTACCACGTGGAGGAGCTTAGACGTCATGCCATAGTTGATAGGGAGCCATTGAGAGGTCTTAACTAGGAAATGACAGGTCAGATGTGTGCCATATGAGGTTGTGGAATGGGTGTGAGACTTGGGAGCAGGGAAATGGGCAAGTACGCTGCTACAATGAACCAGTAGAGAGGTGATGAGGATCTGACACCAGGCAGTGGAAAGGATGGACTTGAGCTAATAAGAACTAGAGTCAGCAGGACTTGGGGAAAGTTCAGATGTTAGTGATGGGCATGATAGAGGAGTCAGGATGGCCCCAGGTTTCTTGCTCAGACAACTCTTTCATTGGTTGCTATTGTTGTTTTCTCAGTTACTTATTAATGACAGGAAGCAGTTGGCCTAGACTTGTACAGGATAGAAAACATTTCACTGTGTTCTGTCTGTAAAGGCATACAGAGTAAAATAACAATGGCCATTGACCCAGATAACTGATGGGGAGTCATGACTCCAATTTAAAGATGTGACTCCTGGTCATCCAAATTAAATGATACATTTGGTCACAAGATATTTCCATCCAAATACTACTCACTGAAACAGGCTGAGTGTGATTTTCCTGTGGCTGAACTTGGCTCACTCATTTAAAATTAAATCAATCCATTCAGCAGCAACCTTTGGGTTTATGTCAACCTGAAAGGAGATTTCCAACAACTACCCCAGACATGTTCTTACCTGCATCTCGATCTGTTTTGATCAGTGCCTGGATATGGGCATTGCCAAAAGGAGTTACAAGATATGGTGATGATATTGGGGGATATAGTCAGAATCCAGATGAGTTTTGACAGGTTTAGACTTACCCTAACAAAAAGAAACAGGGCCACAAATAAACTGCATCAGTCTAGGAAAAGGTAGATTCGTTTTCATAATGGCAGATGTGTAAATGAATGAAATAATTTAGTTGACTGTGTGTCAGTGGTGTGGTGTGTCTGCTAATAAGGCCAATGTGATATGAGGCCACATTAAGAGAAATTGTGTCAAGTATGAGAGGGGGGGATAGACTGTCCCTACTTGTTACTTGTCAGAGTGTGCCTGGAGGGCATGTTCCAATAATGTGGGATATATTCAGAGGCAAAGAAGAGGACAGTGAGGGGACTTGAAGTTGTGTAGAGAATAGTTGAAAACCATACTTAGCATCAAGATGAGAAACCTCGGGGGGGGGAGGGGTGTGTTAAATGCTGTCTTTTAAGTATCTGAAGCCATATGTGTATAATTTAAAACCAATCCCTAAATAGGTCTTCACAGTCTGAAACTACCACTTTTTGCTGACAGCACATCTTTATCTTAAGCCTAGACCACTCTCTGAGTATTAGATCTGGCCATTGAACTCTCTTTTCAAGTGTCCACAGAAACTTCAAACTTTCTTCGAGAGACCTGAGAGGCATCCTTAACCCCTTCTCTTTCCTTTCACCTACATTCATTTTGTGAAGTCTTATTAATTCTGAAATATTTTTCTCGTCTGCCTCCCTTCTTTGGTCTTGTTTTCTACAGTTACCTAAATTAATTTCTTTAATTTCATCTTCACACACCTACACAGTGATTGCTCTAAAAAACAGATCTCTTCATGACGCTTCCTTGCTTAAAACTTTTTCAAGACCTCACTGTTGTCCACAGAATTCTACATTCTTAAATATGGCAGCTGAGGCCTTCCACAACCAAATTCAGAGCTACTTCTTCATTCTCAATTCCTGCCACTGCCTTGGAATTCCCAGTAAGATGTTTCAGTGTACTTCTTCCACACACAATAGGCCTCTGTGCCTTTGCTCATGCCGATCTTTCTGCCTCATACTCCATTTCTCTCTTCTTCCCTCATCTAATTCTTACTTGTTTTTCAAAATAAAGCTACAATAACTCTTCCTCAGTTTAGGCTAAGAATCGCTGCAAGTTGCTTTCATTGTGCCTTGTACTTGCTCTAACATTAACAGCACATTATATTAAAATGCTCCCCTTAGGTTCCCACCTCTTACTCTTATCAGTGCTCCCCATGCCTGTCTCAATTCTAGGCACACATTAGGTGCTTGAACTGAACTGACCACTGGAAAAGTGCCACTCATGTCCCTGAGCCTATTTGATTCCCAGTACATTCCAATAAGGTTGGCCTTTTATATCCTCCTTTGTTGTGGTGGGAAGACTGCTTCTCTACTGTTTCCTTAACAACTCTTCACTTAGAAGAGCGAGCATCCTGGATCCTTTGCCCAGTTAAACCTCCCAGGTATTATCCTTATCTGCCTTCCCAATTCCAACACACTATGAATTTCAGGAGGCCACCGGACACTCCTGGAGACCTGCCCTTCAGCAGATCTTCCTTTTAACTTATGAGATCATTTTCAAGCAGCATCAAGTGTTTCCAGTTGTGGCAATATGGGCCTCGGGACTGATTTTTCCTGGAGGAAGGGGGCTGTTGGCAATAACTGAATCTCCAGAACTGTTATCATCTGAATGTAAATGTAGGATGGCTTTTATTACCAGTGCAGTACGTATGTGTGCATGGATGCGTGCATGCCTATGTGAAGGTTCTTCTAATTTCTCGTGCTCCCATGATAATCCCTACAGTGTAGAGACTGAGGCTGCCCACATTGGTCTGCCCTCATCTCATACGGGCACTAGGGCCCTTCAGGTGAAAGGAGTCACAGATCCAGAACACAAGAAACTCTGTGTATGTGTGTCTCTGCCTTTCTGTGGTGCCTCCTCTCTTTCTCCATGTTGGAATGGTACTTACAAATCATTGGTTCTGACACTAACCCTGCTCTGAAAGGTAAGGAGGAATTAAGAAAGGAGAGCCTCAGACTTGCACTGGGGTGCACTCTAGGATTTACCAGAAGATGTCACTGTAGGCTTAAATCAGGAAGACATACTAGGGAAGGAGGACTATCAGCTAAGCGTGAAGGTGACTCCACTATGGTGGTTTAAAAGACCCAGCAGCCCCCATTATAATGCATGCCTGGGAAAGCTGGTTGAAAGATTAATCCAAATGTGTCACTGAACTTCATAAATTTCTTTTTTCCCTAAATAATCAGACTAACTGTTGCTAAGCTATTGCCTGAGGCCTAGTATAAAGGCTGGATAAATATGTACTGAATGAATAAATAAATGAATGAATACCAAAGCTGGGAGTGGAAGGAAGGAGCCCATGGGAATAGTAGTCACCTTAGTTGGTAAAGGCTTCTGGGGAACAAAATCTGCTACTCATTAGTAGTGCATCTTCACTGAGATGAATTTAAGTGGCACCAGCTAAGTCAGGTCCTAGGAAAAGCAGTAAGATAGGTGAAGGTGGTCTTGGCCCTCCCTCAGTCCTCACTCCCAGATGCTTGTTTATTCCACAAAAATATTTCAGGTGATTTAAATTTTTTTTCTGTGATTTGTACAAGGCACTTAGAAGATTATCCAGAGTTTTTATATGATCAGGCATGTCCTTCTTAGTTTCCAACTTGTTTGGAATGAGTCAATTGAATAAACTTCAGAAAAGCTGCAAGCCATTCCCCAGGCTTTCTTTAAGGAATTAAATGTTAATATTCAGTGTTTGTTGTTTTCCTTCCACAATATGCCATTCCATGACTTCATCTTCATGCACTGCACCTTAGTGGAAACTTATTTTTTATTAGAAGCCCACCCCAAGGTTGTTTCTCTCTTTGAGTATACCTGATCATGTCATAGGCCTTAATATTTCTGGGGCGTGGTATGTGTGTGTACCTGCTGTGTATGGGTGTGCGGGGGTGTGCACTTTAAATGTTTGCTAGTTTGCTCTTTGAACAAAAAATTTTATCAGTTTTCAGCTTTAAAGTGAAGACAGTAACATAGCTAGCCTCTGCTCTTGCTGACATCCAGGTGTCTTTTCTGTGGGTAAAGAAAAGGGGCATTTTGATACTTACAGAGTTAACTTTCCTATCCGCGACAATTATCATGTGAGTGAAGACCGAAACCAAGGTAGTACTTGCATATATGTCATTGGCAGACACCATGTCTATTGCAGTCAGTGATTAACCACAGTGTTTATTTCTGGAGGTGCTGGGCTGCTCTGCCTATCTCTGCATTCCAGTTTCATAATGTATGAGCTATGATGTTATGACAACCAAAATCAAAGATATCATATCAAACACTTTCAATGAGGTTTTCTTTTTAAATAAGATATCCTGATTAGACTGGATATTGGGGGGAAAAGCTTTTGTATCTTTAGTAAAGAAAGATTAGGATTTATGTTCACTTATCAATTCCATACCACTTCAATAAAATCACTTACTTCCACTGAGTCTCCATTTCATGATCAGTTAATAGGGGATTGAGGGTGGGGTATGAAACAAAATGGTTGTCTACTTAGCAAATGGAGCCATTGAAAGGATTTTGTCATTGGTTGGAGAAAGAGAAACAGAGGGCAAGAGGGAACAAAGGGGGAGTGAAGAATGACAAAACAGATGTCTTAGGCCTAAACTTTTCATGCCAGCAAGTGAAACTCAGAGGGGAGACTACAGCACAGTTCACAGGACAAATGCCACCAGATCTCCATCATTCCCCTTTTGCCTTCCTTACCAGCCAGATAACATCACATACACCATGACCTCCCTGATGCCAGTATGTCACCTACATCCCTGACTGTTGGTCTTTGTACTTTTTCCATAGAAACTTCCACTATATCACCATCCTCCGAGACCCAGTGTCCCGGTACTTAAGCGAGTGGAGGCATGTCCAAAGAGGGGCGACATGGAAAGCCTCGCTGCATGTCTGCGATGGAAGGCCCCCAACCTCCGAAGAGCTGCCCAGCTGCTACACTGGCGATGACTGGTCTGGCTGCCCACTGAAAGAGTTCATGGACTGCCCCTATAATCTAGCCAACAACAGACAGGTGCGCATGCTCTCTGACCTCACCCTGGTAGGCTGCTACAACCTCTCTGTCATGCCCGAAAAGCAAAGAAACAAGGTCCTCCTAGAAAGTGCCAAATCCAATCTGAAGCACATGGCATTCTTCGGCCTAACTGAATTTCAGCGGAAGACCCAGTATCTGTTCGAGAAAACCTTCAACATGAACTTTATTTCACCGTTTATCCAGTATAATACCACTAGGGCTTCTAGTGTAGAGATCAGTGAGGAGACCCAAAAGCGGATTGAGGGGCTGAATTTTTTGGATATGGAATTGTACAGCTTTGCGAAAGACCTTTTTCTGCAAAGGTATCAGTATATGAGGCAGAAGGACCATCAGGATGCTAGGCGGAAGCGTCAGGAACAGCGCAAATTTCTGAGAGGAAGGTTCCTTCAGACCCATTTCCAGAGCCAGAGTCAGGTCCAGAGCCAGAATCCGAATCAGAATCCGAGTCAGAACCCCAATCTGAACGCAAATCAGAATGGGACTCAGAATCTGCTTCAGAATCTGCTTCAGAACCTGACTCAGAATTCAAGTCAGAATTCTAGCCACAAAGAGAACCGGGAAAGCCAGAAGCAGAACCCAGGCCAAGAGCAGAGTGATAGCAACACCAGCAATGGAACCAATGACTACATAGGCAGTGTAGAGAAATGGCGTTAAATGGTTCCCAAAGGCTTTTGTGCACTCCTCCCAAAACACTAGTAAAAATATAGCAAATTGGAAAAGATGAGAGTGCCCAAACACATCCTGCTTCCTTAAATTTGGAAGCTAAAAAAAGTTAAGCTGTTGCCTTTACAGTTGCCTTTCAATTAAATGTTATACTGTGCGTGGGTAAAACAAATCTCAATATGTAATTAAATTGTCTTTTTTGTTGTTGTTGTTGTAGTTTTTGTACAATCCAAAAACCAAACCAGACTCACCAGAAATGGCTCTTTAGATATCTTCAGAAGTTCTTAAATTAGTTATAAAGACAAAATGAAAACAAAAGGTGGCCATTTAACTTATCACTAAAAAAATGGACTTTAAATTATTTATGATAAATTAAAGACTGTTAAAACTCAGTCTTAGAAGCAAATTTTTTTCAGGGTTAAGCATAAAAAGCCTAAAATTAAACACACAACCTTTCATTTTCTACATTTTCTACATTTCTACATAAAATGTAGAAAATGAAAAATTTCTCTCCCAAACATGGGTAGTTTTATGTAAAAAAATGCTGGCTTTTCAATTTGAACAGAACTCATATCTTGATATTTAAGAGATGTTTAAAATTTTAAACTTTTTCTATTTTCTCCTTCAAAGGTTTTAAACAGGGTGTATCTCATATTAACAAAACACTTTTTTTTTCTAAACAGAATACTAATGTTAATATCTAATTTCCAGACACTTTACGGGCACTGTAATTTCAACAATTCTGGAATCTTTTTGGCACTGCTTCTCATTCATTTTAAGGCTTCTGAGTTGTGCTCATCCCAAACTAACCCATTTATAGAATCCTTCTTCGTCATCTAAATAGTGTGTTGCTGAATTTATTGTGATATATAATCCTGTATAAAAGTCAGGATTTTCTATAGAATTGTCTTATCAATATTTGTGTAGTGAAGTCCTTATCAAGAAACTCTTGAACAGGATAATGTGTCTAAAAATATTGCTGAAGTTATTCTTGATCAAATAGAATTGAACCTGAATGTGAATGAATTGTTATTTACTTTTTGTACATTTTTACTGTGATGTTTCCAATTGGGCTGGCTATTTCTAGCCAGTTATTTCTTTTTTGTGTTGACAGATTGTAGACAATTACACGAGAAAAACAATGGTAGACTAAGCATTAGGATAGCCAGAGTTATTCAGTATCACCAAAAGCTGTACCTTGATTCTTTGGGTTAACCCTCTACTAGGTTTTGTTTTAAGAAAGAACCAAAGGAAACAGTGTTCTGTTGTGAGGTTAAGTATCAGCCTATAAATTGAGGAAAGTGATTTAGTATTGTAAGTCCATACATAAATACTTTTAGGATATTGATTATGAATTGAGCAGGGCAAAAAAAAAAGTATGTAACCCACTGTGCTATGAAGCTGTCCATCAAACAAGGCAACTAGGAGTGGCATTTGTTTTCAGGAGGGCCATGCTTAGAAGTGTGACCATAAGTCACACCTTGTACAATCTGCTCATTTGCATGATCTGGTTTCATCTGTAATAATATGGCCACAGGCTGGACAAGAAGCTGAGTATTTGGGTTTAAAAAGAAATTTTCTTGACTCTGAGCTTGTATTAAAATATCTAAATTGTGCTTTATCTGACAGTATTGCAATCTTGGTAATTCTGAGAACTGAAAGATTGAAAGGAATTAAAAAAATAAAACACACCAAGTCAAAGTATTTTAGAGTGAAACTATTTTGTGTACATTGTGTTTTTTAAATCAAGATTCTGTAGATCACTGTGGTAATTCAATTTTGTTTAGTTTTAATTGATAATGTTTGCTCTAAAAACTGATAGTTACTGTTAGAAAGCAGGATGAAGCCTGAGCCAGTGGAAAAGCTTGTTACAGAAAATCATTTTTTGTTGTTGCCGTGGTGTGCATGATTTGCAGAAATTAAGTACATTTTTTTTGGTCTATACTAATTATTGTATATAAAGGATGTTATAAATATACTTTTTTGTCAGCATTATGTAAATCCCATGATTTGAACTGTAAACATCTGTCCAATGGTGTAGCTTTACAAACAATTCACTGATTTTGTGTAATTTAACAATAGATATGAAATAAAGTTTAAATTTCAGGCTCTGAGTAATTTTGTTATTTTAGTTGAGGTTTGCAGCCTCTAGACAGTATAACTTCACAGGCAGAATTCCCTTTTCTCAAGGAGTTTCTTTTTTCCTCTTAGCCACCAGATATGGAAATGAGATGACGCATTCTGCTCTATCATGCTAAAATGGCCTTAGCTTTGGCTGCTTCCCTCTGGGAATCCACACTTTCCTCTTTTGAGTAAAACAAAGTTGTCAATGAAAGACAAAGTTTGCTATGTATTTTAGTCAGCTCGGACTGCAATAACAAAATACCGTAAACTGGGTGGCTTAACAGAAACTCATTTCCCACAGTTCTGTAGGCTGAAAGTGTGATATCAAGGTGCTGGCATGGTCAGGTTCTGTTGAGGACCCTTTTCTCCATTGCAGAATGCTATCTTCTTGTTGTATACTCACATGGCAGAAAGTAGCTAGCTAGATGTTTAGCCTCCTTTTATAAGGGGACTAATCCCATCTATGAGGGCTCCACAGTCATGACCTAATTACCTCCCAAAGGCCTTACACCCAGATACTATCACATCGGGATTATGGTTT